GCGCTGTGGGCGGGGTATAAGAAATGTGGGGCTCTGATGCCCCAGTGTGTGAGGCACAAGCGGGGCAGCCAGGGAGGCAGCAGGCTGCAGGTGGAGCCCCAGTGGACCACCATGTGGCCCTCGGGCCACAGGTTGCCCACCACTGTGCTGGGGAACAGATAGGAGTAATTCGTGATCAGTCAAGGAAAGCAGCTGGCGTCACTTATCCAAATCAACGTTTCCCAACCACACGACCCACTCGGGTCCTTCCCTCCCCTAGGAATCTCCAAACCCAGAGGAAAGGAAGCGCCGGTTCATCCTCTCCTATTTCCTCTCCACCGACATGATCAGCATCTACGAACCACCGGTCCGCAATTCAGGCATCATTGGAGGCAAATACTTAGGAAAGACCAAAGTCCCCAAGCCAGGCAGCACGACGGAAAACGCCGTTTACTACGAGCCAGCAGACCTCACCATCGGTGCTATGGTTGAAGGTAAGTTGGGACAAGGCTCGATGGTGCTGCCAGAGCATCTCCTCTTTAGTGCAGGCTCCTTGTTCTACACGTGAGAGCTCTGAGGCTTATTTTTTTGCACAGATATTGCCACGGGCGGCCGGTATGCTAGGCATGGGAAGGCGTTGCCTTCCCAAACCACCAGCCTGGCTCCGCCCACACTCCGCCCCCAGAATGCCTGCTGGAGGCGTACTGGGGCAGAGTGTTGCTGCCCCCAAGCACCTGCCCTCCCCGTGCTCTGGGGCTGGGGAAACTGGGACCACAGGCCCTCCTCCCTCTCCATGGTGCTGTGGGGGTGGGGGTTGGCTTAGCTCCTGGCCAGAAGGGGCGGGGCTGGGACAGGGCTTCACCCACCGCCCATGGATATTGCACATATCTTCCATGTACAATTGGCCAGTTCTGGATCTAGTGTAAAATGCAGCCCTTTGTGTAAAATGGAGCCATTCCACTCATTTTAGCTGGGGACCTGGCTTCTATTATACACGGAGAGCGAGCACTCTGTTCTCCTTCAGATTTGTGTAGTTTGTGTAGCTGATGGGCTGGGGCACACCAGCATTTTAAGGATTAATGCTGGAGCACTGGCCAGATGAAATCCGGCAGGATGGGCCACCGGTTCATGCACAGGGGAAAACAACCCTGATACTGAAGCAAGTTAAAAACTAGACAGTACTACATGTATATTACTTTGGGCCCAACCCTGAGTCCTTTCCTCAGTGGCTTCTCACACAGACAAAATGCCCATGGAATTCAAGAAGAACGTTTCCTACCCCCAGACAATAAGAAAACTGCATGAACTTCTTGGCTCTGACATTGCAAGTTCCTCAGGGCAGGGACCTTGTGTATCTGCGATGGGACTTGCCCGCACACGGCCATAACATTTGGGTTGGTGGCGCTTGCCCAGTGTTTGGCCACAGGTTTATCATCACCGATGCGGACGAATACGTCTTGAATTACATGGAGAGCAATGCCGAGAGTGTCCCCGCGGCAACGCTGCAGTCCCTGCGGGATCACTTTGCCCCTCGCCGAGCAGCAGTGCAGGCCGCTGAGAGGTAGGTTTCAATGGAGCCGGCGGGATAGGAAATCATTCACCATTTAGCCGGTCAAATGGCTATTCTCTGTTTGCACAAGCTCCTCTATTGCGGTGCGTTCTGGTGCAGCACGAGCCACAAACAAGTTTTAGGAGGGCCATCAAGCAGGGCCAGCATTAGACTCACTGGAGTTTAGGGCTGAAAGGCAGAGCTGTGCCATGCAGGCTGAAGCTGGGGGCCCTACCCCAGCTGCTAGCCCCTAATGTCAACTCTGGTTTTTATTGTGGCACAGGAGGGTTGTGAAGTTTCTAGAGCATGTTGGGGGCGGGTCTCAGGAAGAAAAAGGCTATTCTCTGTTTGCACAAGCTCCTCTATTGCGGTGCGTTCTGGTGCAGCACGAGCCACAAACAAGTTTTAGGAGGGCCATCAAGCAGGGCCAGCATTAGACTCACTGGAGTTTAGGGCTGAAAGGCAGAGCTGCGCCATGCAGGCTGAAGCTGGGGGCCCCACCCCAACTGCTAGCCCCTAATGTCGACTCTGGTTTTTATTGTGGCGCAGGAGGGTTGTGGAGTTTCTAGATCATGTTGGGGGTGGGTCTCAGGAAGAAAAAGAAGCTGCTAGCCCCTAATGTCAACTCTGGTTTTTATTGTGGCACAGGAGGGTTGTGAAGTTTCTAGAGCATGTTGGGGGCGGGTCTCAGGAAGAAAAAGGTTGAGAACCCCTCACATTTAGCATCATTAACCGCTGATACCGCTCTCTAGCCCTCGGGCGAGCAATCATTTTTGAAGTGGTCACAGGCTGCCCCGTTGAAAGGGCTCTCACCTCCCCTGCTACTCCCAGGCATCACGTTAGCGGGGGATGGGAGCTGTGAGCCCTTTCACCTCCTGCTGTTTCAAGGCCTCGCTGCCCACTGCCTGGTAGCTGGGACGCTAGAGCCCTTTCAATTGCTTTTGTTTAAAGGGCTTGCCCCTTCCCTAGGGCTGTTGCCTGAGAGCCATGGGGAAGGCGTGAGGCCTTTAAATAAAAGCAATTGAAAGGGTTTGAGAGTCCCTAGCTCCCAGGCAACGGGCTAGCATGGGGCCAGGAGCTGAGAGCCCTTTCAATTGCTTCTCTTTAAAGGGCTTGCGCCTGCCAGATGACTGCCAGGCAATGTAGCTGCCCAGCAGGCACGGGCCCTTTAAACAAAAGCAGTTAAAAGGGCTCGCAGCTCCCAGTGCTGCTAGCGCATTGCCAGGGAGCCGGCCCATGCGAGCCCTTTTAAGTGCTTCTATTTAAAGGGCGTGTACTTTCTCCGCGGCTGCCAGGCAATATGTGGGGAAGGCACTTTAAATTGAAGCACTTAAAAGGGCTCGTGCATCTCCTTCTCCCAGGCAACGTGCGAAGGGGCAGGGCCTGGAACTGCCGCGCAGGCTGGATCTGGCCCCTCGAGAGGCTTTTGCCCTCCCTTGCTCTAGCCAGTTACTCTGGTGCTTGCTGGCTCGTGACTGATTTGCTGATGGCTCCACTCTGGGAACCCCTCCTTGGGGCACCGAGAATTCAGTGCACGCCAGGGGCCCAGAAATGCAGGGCTGGGGCTGTCACAGCCCAGGAACCTGGTGCCTCCCTTTGAGAGCTGGCTCTTCCCCGAAGAGTACAGCAAAGGTTTCCTTTCAGCCCTGCGCAGCAGCAGTAAATGGTCCTTCGGTGCAGGGCGCATTGTACCAGCACCGGCCTCCCATTGCATGGTGGCCGAGAGACACCGGAGTGATCGCTCTCCTGCCATTTGGGCCATGCCTTGGTCTGCAACAGATGGGCCCCTACCCTCTTTTCTCGGTGCTTTGTCTAGGCTCTATGACCAGACTTCCTCCCTCCCCAAGACCAGGGCTGCCCTCCCATCCCTTGGGAGACCATGCCACAACCCCCAGCTGTTTGGGGCTCCAGCCATTAAGTGCATAGAGCAGGGATGGGGAGCTCTTTTTGGGTTGGGGGCTGCTAACTCACAGAAAAACCAGTCAGGGGCCTCACACATGTGAGATGCAAAAGAAAAAAACCCCACCTCACTGATGTGGCCCCTGAATGAGAAGCAGAAAGACACTCCTGCCATTCCCCTCATCCTGCACACCAGGGCCTAGGGGAGCCAGGCTAGTAGATTTTGTGTGCTTCAGTGGAGTGGTGGGGGAAGGAAGGCTGGAACACCAGCATGGGCTCCCCAGTGCTGTGGGGAGGGGGGGAAAGCGCTGAGTCTCAGGGCCTGGATCCAGGCAAGCCAGAGGCCAGATGCGGCCCCTGGGCCTTAGGGTCCCCATCCTTGGCATAGAGGTGCCAACTAAGAAGAGGGCCACTTGGCACAGCCTGAACACACAGAACAAGATAGTCTCTGCTCTCAAGAGCTTCCATTCCAAATAGACAAGACAGACAAAAGGGGGGAAGAGAGAGAGAGGCAAGAGGCAGCACCCACCCAATGACCTGCCACCAATCAGCAGAGCTGGTTATTTGAAGGAGAGTGTTTTGGAAGCCTGTGGTGCACACATTCAGGAATAATGCCTGGCCAGCTCAGGGTATAACTGGCCACCAGCTATTTTAATGGGTGGGGCAAACGAGAGCAGGAAGTAGCACAGGTGTGGCAAGCGTGACTCCTGCATGCAGTCATTTCCTCCTGCACATCCTGCCTCCACAGCCAGCCAGCCGCTGGGATGGGCAGGCAGGAGCTGGAGGAGCTAGTGAAGCAGGTTCAGGAGCAGCTGAAGCACCATAACTACTTGAGTAACAGCAGCATGCGGGAGGCGTTCCTTCACCACGACAAGGACGCCTCCGGCTACCTCGACAAGGCCGAGTTCTTTGCCCTCTGCAACCGCTTCAACCTGCCAGTCGACAACGCCCTGGTGAACAAGGTCAGGAAGCCGCACAGTCAGCGTGCACAGTTTGGCTTGTAGCAGAAACATGGACCAGGGAGCCACGTAATTCTATTCACAACCCTGCTCTCTCTAGCTTGCCATAGCTCTTTCAAAGGATTGTCCCTGTCCGTTTACAGCCAAGACTAAGCACTGGCAGTGCCCCATGTCCGGGCAATGCCATGAACAAGACAGTGTGCCACCTCCTCCCCCATCTCCTATAGCATCCCTGCTCCGGGCCCCAGAGGCATAGAAGAGACCCACACATGCAGTCGGGCAGTGGGACTCGCAAGAGGTGGGAGGAATTCTTTCAAACTCTGAGCTGACCATGACTTCACCCCAGTGTGTAGTAAATAGAAGCCCAAAGTAGAAAGCTAGTCCCATATAGGTAGCAATGGTAGCCAAGCAACTAGCCTTCCTCCAGGGGCATGTTGGTACGAGCACCACAGACATGCTTCTTCTCACCAATTGCCTTTGCATACCGTCAGCCAGCTGAATTGCTGAGAAGGTGCAGTCATCTCGAGCCTGCAAGGCATCTCCACCATCTCTGCCTCAGGCCTCTGCTAATCAGCTTAGCTAGTAAGGGTCAAGGCAATACAGCTATGGGGCTTTGAGCAGAAGCCAGCTGAGATGACAGGCTGCCTGGCAGGAAACAGGCCAAAGAACTGTGCGCGTGAGGGGAAGAAACAGAACACAGTGGAAGACAGAGGGTGACTTGGGTTTCCTCAGCCTAAAATGCTGTAGGCTAAGGGTGGGGAGCATTTGGCTTCTTCCCGCTAGACTGAGGAGGAAACTGGATTGAAACTTCATGGGTCAGGTTACTCCTGGTGAATAGGGGTATTTATTACAAGGGACACTTTTCCTCTCCTAGAGATGGGTTATTCCCCCAAGGGAGGAATGGGGTACTTTGCCCTGGCTTTCAAGAACTGCTCATGGGAGTGATACTTTAGGGCAACGTGACTGTATCTGTAGCATCTCTCCTTCTCTCAAATTGCTGTTTCTTTTCCAGCTGATCAATCTGTGTTCACATGGGGAGAACAAGATCAGTTACCAGGACTTCATCAGAGCTTTCTCCTGCTGAGCTGCCCCTGGAAGGGGAGACCCAAACCAGCCCCAACCATCCCAGCTGAATGATATTCAAATGTGGTACCTCTAGATTCTCTCTTCACTGAGTGCTGCTTGGCCCTTCAGCACTAGGTTCCCCTCATCTCTGCCCTGCTTCCCTTCCTGCCTCATGGTGCTCAGTTTCCCTACCTCTGGGTCTGCAAGCAGAGCCTGTAGACAAAGCTTCGTTTGTATTAAAGAAATGAATCTGCATAGTTCCAGGTTGTCTCTTCCGGGGCTCTGAGGCGGGCAGGGGTGGTCTGGCTGGGGTGAGCACTCCAGGCCTTTCTTACAGACTGTTAGAGGAGGACTCCATGTTCTGAGATGCCAAAAGCAACTTGGCCCCTTTTTCGTTTATTATTTTGCTGCAGAAGGACCTGCAGAATCCTAGCCATGCAGCAGGACCCCATTGTGCAAGCTGCTGCAGTCACCCAACCTCAGCGTGCCTGCCTTAACTGAACACACCAAGTGGCCTGAAAAGCTGAGGACTCAAGTGACAGATCAACTAAATGGATGACATATTATAAAGCCTTCTTTCCTTACATTTAACACCCCATTGACACCAAAAGCGGAGTATAGGCCACTTCCAGCCTGCTCAATTTGCCTCATTAGCACCGGGACTACCATTGACAGGTGCTTTTTTCCTTCCCTCCCCTTTCTTATTCTGAGGGTCCCCCTTTTTTTCCTCCACTCTGCTCATCTCATCTGACAAAGTGGATTTTCCCCATGAAGGCTCATGACACTCTCTCTCTCTATTTGTTAGTCTCGGGGGTGCCATAGGACTACTTACTTTTAGATTAAATAAAAAGCATTCTGTGCTCCTGTGTACTTCGTGATAGCAGCTGAAAGGCCCTTGGCAACCGCCTTCTGGGGCTAGCTGTGATGTTCCTTATTCCGAGCATCAAGCAGGCCACCACTGGGCTCCCTCCGTTCCTCCTCAGCCTCTAAAACCTGCTTCCAGCCCTCCTCACCACTACAGCCCGATTCCCAGCCCATTGGCATCACAACGGCCTTTCCACGGACGTCAGCGGCCTTTCGCATAGGGCACTGGTGCCGCGAGCCATAGGATTGTTGAATTGCCCTTCGGTCCTCATTTGCTCCCTCAGCATGATGGGCAGGAAACACTTCCCCCATACCCGGCCTGAGCCCAAAGCACATAAGAGGTCCAAGCTATGCACAGAGCTAGCCACCTGCAGATGTGTCGTGTATGGGAGAGGAGCAAATGGCACCTACCTCTGCCATACCTGGTGGGTCTGTCCCGACGTGCTTTGGGAGCGCTCACATAGCAACCCATAGGGCTGAGGGACTAATGAATGGAGGAAACACACACCTCGTCGATGATTCTATGCCTTTTATTTAGTTATTTCAGAAAATATCTTTGTTGAAAGTTTGTTCACAAAAGCCATTTAACAAAAAAAAAATTCCATACAAAATTGTTTAGTTTTTAAACGATAAGGGAAGACTAAAAACATGTGGGAGAAAAAGTTTGAAATGGTTATCCAAAAAAAAAAAAAAAATCCAACTCAAACCCCTCCCTCCCAACCAAAACAAATTTAAAAAACCACACATGAAAAAGGAAGAGAAAACATTTGCACTAAAGCATAAATATGGAAGAACAGAATTTTCCTTGAGTTTCTTTGTTGAAGTTTGGTCCACAGAATTTAAACAGGTGAAAAAGACAGATACATGCACCCACCCAAATTTTGTGTCTTTTGTTCTTTCCTCTGTCTGGCAAGAAGTAAACACACAACTTAGGGGGACTGAGCGACCCAGTTTATAATGTCAATATAAAGATGGCCAATTCAAGCCATATGTTATGCACTCAAACGTTTCAAAAAGAGTCCATTATTGCTGTGCAGTCGGACAACTGTAGGCACCATCTGCTATAGACAGAAGCCAGCTCTAGCTGTAGATTCCATCGACAGGACTACTCCACAGCCAGACAGAACTGTAACCAGTCCACTGGAATGAAGACAACCCATTTACAGACTTCATGACTAGTTCTGGAGAGAGACCATCCTACACTTAATATAAGAACCAGGGAGAAACCTATTCCTTCTTCACGACACCTGTGCATGATAGGTAGGAAAAAGTCATCCTACAAAAATACAAACTTTAATGCCCCATTGAGCAAGGAAGAGTCATTCAACAAGCTTTTAAAAAGATACTGATCTGCAAAATGCTACATTCTCCCCCAACATCCACTTCTCTGAGATCCCTGTGGGATAAGGAGAGAGGGAGAACTGCTGATTCTCAAGAGACTTTGCCCTAGCTCAGGTTAGGAGGCATTCTGTGCTCCATGCAAGTATTCTTACAACTTGACCTCATCTCAGGGACCTACCCCCTCCCAGGGTTAGGTGATGGATGCAAGCCCTACAGGAGCGACTGTGATCCAGGTGGGTTATTGCACAACCCAGTAGGGAGTGGAGTAGTTATAACACTGAATCCAATTCTGCATGATCCTGGGTACCCTCAGCCCTCTAGCCAATGGGGGGGGGGGCACAAACTGTTGCAGAAGATGTGCAGCACTTTGCAAGATGGGGCCCAAGAAGAGGACCCCTTTGAGAAGTTGATCTTCCCTTTCCCTGGCCCTCTGCACCTTCGTACGTGGATTGGGCAATGAAAGAGTTAACACTGGAGACTGGGAAAGAAGAGAACCCATCTCTACCAGAAGGGGGTTCTTCAGGAGAGAGAAGACATTTTGGTTTGCTAGGAAATGCAAGGAGAGCTGCCTCAGGAGCGGCACGTGCACCGGAACAGAGAGGAGCAAGAGTTACTGTACTGGGAAGGAGCAGGGGAAGAGTCCTTCGAGTGACAATTGACCCACGCAAGGCCTGTGGTGCGGCAGCCAGTGGGGCTTCACTGCAGGGCCAACTGAGCTAGGCAGAAAAAGGAAAGGTGGGGAGTGGGGGTGGGGGGAAGATTAGCCAGTAAGGAAGGAACTAATCTGCAACTCAGTAAGGCAGGCACCATGTGGGGTAACTTTCATCGTGACCTGTCCCTTTTCCCAGCGCCTCCACAGGCCAGGGCAGACCGGTAACGCGCATCGGGCCTTCGCACACACAGCGCGAGAGAGCACGGAGCCAGCGAGGCAGTGCACAGGGAAGAGCGCAGACGATACTGCAACGTAAGGCACTTGGTACACAGAGAACACTGAGTCCTTTCACGGCCTGGCAGGCTTGTGCCAGAGGAAAGGCTGCCTGGAGCAGGGCAGGAACCATTCAGCACCCTGGTTTCTTTGGCTCTTACTCAGCCTCCTTGTAACGGGGAGGCTCAGCCCCTGGGCTGCAGTAAGTCACGGACGTCAGAGGAGCGATGCCAGCGATCGCTCTGGAGAGATCTGGGAGCAGCCCCTCTCTGGCGGGCGCAGCCGTCCCGTGGTGGCTGGGAGTGGCCAAGGACGGGGAGAAGGATGGTAGGCCCAGGTGCCAAGAGCTCATGTCTCAGCTGTCTCGCTCGCCGGGCTCATCTTCCTTTCCCACCTGACCTGCTGCTCCTCCGATCATAGAACTCCCTCTGCCCAAGTGCTGGCTTTGCTAGGCACCTATCCAGCCAGGGCTAAGGAGGGGCAGTTCCCTGGTACTCTGCTCCGAGATATTGGGAGAGCAGGAGGAGGATCATTGGGAGATGCCAGCTAGTGACCCTCATTTGACAGTCAAAGCTCATGGGGGACAGGGAGGAACAGGATCTGACCAGCTGCCTCCAGGTTTTCTCTCTCCAGCACGGGCTACCAGTGGGGGAGACAGAACAGGTGCAGAGAGGACTCAACTTCTGTGCAAGCAGCATAGCCACCAGTTCCTCTCACCACTCAAAAAACAAACAAACCGGCAGGAGGCGAGCAAGAGCCACTGTCCCTTCCAAAAAGATCACAGAGAGCAGCACAACACAAGCCGGGCACATCCTGGTTGGGTTATTCTGGCCTGTGCCTCTCACCCCAGCTAGGAAGGAAGGGCCCGGATTCCAGGACACTTCACCCCTGGGACTCCCTGCCTCTCCTCTCCATGCTCAGCCACAGGGAAATGCTACCGATCAGCCGAGCCAGCTTTGCCGCGAGGGAAGCGGGAAGGAAGCGCTAAATCACCTTACTGCACCGAAACACACCAAGGGCAAAGTCTGGCGATAGAGACCTTCCACAGAGAGGGATACCTCTGCTGCCAGTCCTGACCGCATTGGAACAGCAATGCAAGTGGGACGGCTTCACCCACTCGGAAGAGGGTGGGGGATGCTGTTCCCAGGCAGCGGACAAAGTCAGCGGGCTCTCAGGTGCTCGACCCATCCCCCCCACGTCTCCTCCTCCAGCCAACACGGGGTCCCCAGGGAGCCTGGGCGTACGAGAGAGGCAGCCTCTGAGGTAGATCGGAGACGATCCCATCCACCAGCTGGGGCGGGGGGGTAGCATGGATCGGGTGAGAGGCACTCCCGCTTCCACAGGCTGCTCTCTGCTATTCCCGCCCAGCCCAAGAAGGGAGGCAGGGGGCTGGATCCCCAAACTAACCCGTCGCCTAGGAGGTACAAGGCCTGCGAAGCTGAGAGACAGAAGCTGGTGGCTACAGGGAGCAGGGCCAGCCCAGGGCAGGGTTGAGGCCTGAGGTGAAAGGCCCCATTACTGACAGGTGACGGGGCGTTTGCGCTCCTGCATGCAGCATGAGTGCTACCCGCGCACAGCGCCACAGGGGTCAGCCAGCAGTCGGGTGAGGTAAAGCGGCACATCCCGCAGGAGCAGCGAGGCGTGGGACCGGGGCTGACCTGCTAGTGGGGAGGTGGGGTCTCAGGGCTCACACCTCCTCTGCTGAGCTTGGCCTGAGCCGGGTGACAGCATCGTGAGTAAGGCACCAAGAATTACCCGGCCAGAGACAGGGCCCAGTCACGGTGCCAAGAGAGAGGTGGGCAGAACTGGGCTTAGCCACGAAAGCCACCAGGGCCGATCCGCCAGCGTGGGAAGAGCTTTCCTCTCACCGCAGACCACCATGGCTGCCACTTGCCACAATCCCAGCACCTCTGAGATCGCCTCCCTGTGCCCTGACGCGACAGGCCTGATCCAGAACGGATGCGCCTCTGAAATCCCATTGGGCAGGCTGGCTACAAGGTTGCCCTGCAATTCTCCCAAGAACTCCAGGCGTGGCGGACCCACCCACGGACACCACCCCCGACAGCCACCCTGGGCAGCCAAGAGGGCACCCCACACAAAGAGCACGGCTCCCCGAACCTCTACCCTCAAGGCCCTAGGGCACGCAGCGCCTTAAAGCAGCTGCCTGCCCCCCACCGATGTAGAGCAGTGCCAAGAGGGCAGAGGAAAAAGGGATCCTTTGGCTGGAACCTTTCTACAGTGCATTTGTAACAGGGGAAAACATTGCACGCTGATTGACGATAAAACGGACCGGGGGGTGGGGGAGGTTTGAGCCTGCCTCCTACAGGCCGTGTGACGCGGGGCTTTTTTGGTTTTATTGCAAATGGTTCGGCGGGGGAAGGGGAGAGACCATGGGAAGAGGAAACGTTTCCAAGCCACTGCGGTGGTGGAGGGAGGGGCTGGCGCTTAGTCCTGGTCTCTCGCCTTCCTCCCTGGCAGAAGAGCCTTCGGCCCTAGGGAGACTTGAGCTTCTTGGTGCGCGGGGAGGTTCCGTTCTCGGCTTTCACCACTCCGTTTTCGTGGTAACCTGGGGGCGGGGAGCACAGCGTGTCAGGGACCCGACCGGCTTTGAAGAGCGTGAGGTCTTAGCCCCCGCTCAGCACAAGGGTTGTGAACTGCCATCCCCTCAGGGGACGGGAGTGCCCGGCAGGCCTTCCGCCTTGTGCCGTGGTCCCACTTGGCCGGGGCTGCGTCGCAGAACAGTCAGTTACTCCTGAGCACGACTTTGGGGGCACGATGCTGCTGGACAGGACAGGGCTGGGGCCCTGATGGCGCCTGGCTGTTACTGCTCCCCCTCAGGCAGAGCAAGGGACCCGACAGCAGCTTGGGCCCTTACATCTTGCCCCCTAGCTCAGCCCCACACGGCCCCGCTCTCAGCGCCCTGCCCTGGCACTCACCTGTCTCCCTTTTGATGGGTTTGGACTGCTGCTTGGGGAGGGCGGCAGCAGCTCTCTGCCTGGCGCTCTGCTCGTTCCAGTATTCCCGCCAGCGCCGCAGCTGGAAGCGGATGAAGTGCCACATCATCAAGGCCTGGAAGAGGCACACCAGGAGCAGCACGAACATCCTGGCAGGGAGAGGGCAGAGAGGCGGGAGGCTGAGAACAGAGCTGAGAGGCTGAAACCGGCCACTCCCAAATCCAACCCCCGCCCAGTAAACGGCTCTTTGCCCCCCAGGACCACAGCCTTCTCGATGCTCCGCAGAGCCGGCATACCTGTCCTGCGAGGTCACCTGAGGGGTGAGACTAGCTGTTCCAGGTGCCAACCCTGCCCTGAGTGCCACTGCCCGTTTGTGTTTGGGTACAATCACGCTTCCGCAAAGCAGCATCTGCCCGTCCTGGCTGGGGGCTATGCAGGGGACACAGCAGCATACAAAACACTGACAAATGCGCAAAGGGAAACTGAACTCCGAAAGGTTTTTCCCTCATTCCCAGAATCCCAGTGGTTATTCAGACAGACACTCTCAGGCCAGGAGGGACCGCTAGGGTCTTCTCATCCGAACTCCTGCACCGCACAAGCAAACCACCTCACCCAAACAGTTCTGCACCAAGCCCCAATCTGCTTTTTGAGCAACAGTGCATCCTTCAGGACATCCAGATGTCAGAGAAAACCTGCAGAGAAAACCATGTTCCCCAGGCAATGGGAGGGAAGACATGGCCAGACAGAAGTACGATGGAAAAGGGACTGTATGTCAATGCCTCCTTGAAGAACAGATCTGCTCAGAGGCTCTCTTCATATCAAGGATTATTCTTGTCTTCACAGTGCAGCGCCTAGGATTTTGCTTAGCCTCAAGGCAGCTGGGCACCCAGCTTGTTCACCCAGGCCTGTGCTGCATCTACATAATCCTTGATACAGGAGAAATCCCAACCAGAAGACAGATGGATTTTGACACCCTTGGAGCCAAATGGGACCACAGGGGTTGAGAACACAAACGCGGGCATGACGACTGCTTTCGCTTTTATCTGGGGTATTGTGTCCAGTTCTGGCCCCCCGCTATAGAAAGGTTGTGGACGCACTGGAGAGAGTCCAGCAGAGGGCGACCAAAATTATTAGAGGGCTGGAGCGCATGATCTATGAGGAGAGGGATTTGGGTTTGTTTAGTCTGCAGAAGAGAAGAGTGAGGGGGGATTTGATAGCAGCCTGCAACTTCCTGAAGGGAGGCTCCAAAGAGGATGGAGCGAGGCTGTTCTCGGTAGTGATGAATGGCAGAACAAGGAGCAATGGTCACATGTTACAGTGGGGGAGGTCTAGGTTGGATATTGGGAAAAACTATTTCACTAGGAGGGTGGGGAAGCACTGCAATGGGTTCCCTAGGGAAGCGGTGGAATTTCCATCCCTACAGGTTTTTAAGTCTCGGCTTGACAGAGCCCTGGCTGGGATGGTTTAGTTGGGGTTGACTTTAGTTGGGCAGGGGGCTGGACTCAATGACTCCTGAGGTCTCTTCCAGCCCTAGTATTCTGATTTTGACAGGCTCCTTCCTGACTACGTGAGCACACGCTAAGCCACTCCGCAGAGCAGTTCAGCCTACGGGGAGGAAGGGATGGAGCAGCATGTGGCCATGTCTTACCTGAAAAGCAGACTGTTGAAGTTTCCCTTCTCAGGTTCGAACACCTGATTCTCCACCCGAGACAGCCCAAAGCCGATGACCAGCACGGAAAGGGTGAGGGTGAAGAGCCGGGCGACCACGAACACCACGGCCCAGGCATTAAACCTGTGTGAATTCAAATGGGGGGTGTCACTGGGCCGAGCCTCCGTCTGCGGTGGGGGTGCACACCCAGGGGTCGGGAGACATGCTCAGGCCAGAAAACTGCCTCACAATGTCCAGGAGCAGCATGTGGTTCCTGGGGACCCATTTTTCACAGGGTTTAACTGTGGTGGAGAGGGGTTCTTTCAGTCTAAGAGTCCTACACCACGAAAACCACTGTTCCAGCCACCTCCCTTCCTGAGCCTCAGCAGGGATATCATGGTCAGAACAGGCCACGTGTGAGATGGCCCCGGCAAGTCACATGGGGGCAGGTCGGCTGGGGCCTGTGCTGAACGGGATGGACAGAGCTTCAGTCCCTACGTTCTTCCAAGGTCCACCTTCCACTCCAGAGCAACCCCTCACTGTGTGCCTGTGTGCAGTCTCAGCACATTTGCCCACAGCTGGCACGAAGGAATAGATCATTCCAGGCCCAGGGGCCTCCGGGCCTGATTCTCTGATGCCTGTTGCTGGTCATTCACCCCACTGCAACAGGAGCATAAAAGGGCATTCCAACCCGGTAGCTTTTTATACCTGCACGTACACTCAGGGTATGTCTAGACTACATGGCTTCGTCGACAGAGCCACGTAGATGAGTTTACTAGACATAGGGAAATGAAGCGGCATTTTAAATAATCGCTGCTTCATTTACATCAAAATGGCCGCCGCGCTGTGCCGATCAGCTGTTGGGCGGCACAGCGGGGCAGTCTGGATGCTCTGCGGCCGACAACGGAAGCCTTTGTTGACCGCTCCAGTAAGCCTCATTTCACGAAGCATAACGGAGCGGTCGACAAAGGCTTCCGTTGTCGGCCGCAGAGCATCCAGACTGCCCCGCTGTGCCGCCAAACAGCTGATCGGCACAGCGCGGCGGCCATTTTGATGTAAATGAAGCAGCGATTATTTAAAATGCCGCTTCATTTCCCTATGTCTAGTAAACTCATCTACATGGCTCTGTCGACGGAGCCATGTAATCTAGACATACCCTCTGTGAGAGACAGACTTGATGAGTTTACAATCTGGACAGACAAAGGGTGGGAAGGTAAACAGAGGCACAGGAAAGGATGTGATTAGCCCAATAGCTCTCAGGAAGCAGGGCAAAGAAGAGAACCCACGTCTCTTGTTGCACAGGGCAGGGCTCTATCCACTAGACCACACTCCCTCCTCAACTGCACACCACAGTACAGGAAGACACAAGATCCCAGGCCTTTAGCAGGCTGCGCCAATCTGTTATTCTTACTAAGTCCACTAAATCAAGCCTGGACGTTAACATGGCCTCGAATGCCTGTGCTGTGAGGATCTCCTTGCCCACCTCAACCGGCTAGTCAGGAACGGCAGCACCTGCAATTGTCCCCCACCCCAGGTGACTGCTCCACTTGCAGATCCATTCTGAAGAAGACAGACTCACTCCCCTAAACCCCTTGTACTGACAGCCCTGGCCGGCCGGGGGAATCTTTCCCCTCAGCTCGATGCACTTACAGCTTCTGGTTGTTCTCGTCCGTGAAGTAGAAGAGCTGGGCCACGTGGAAGAAGAATTCAGCAAAGTACTGCAGCAGCAAGAGGATGAGCCCCAGGCGGGTTAGGCTAGGGAGAGAAAAGACAGGCGTTGCTGTGTTGGAACAGACCTGAGCTCCAGACAGCGACCTGCCTTATTACTACTACTAAGTGTCTGTTCTGCAGATTACACGCGCCAATCAAAATCAGGACCCTGTTGTGTTGGGCCTAGGACCCACACGAAGCTGCCCCAAACAGGTTATAATCAAATAGATAAGACACTGCTTAAGGGGAAACTGAGGCACAGCGCCCACTGTCCCTGCAGAGCTCAGTAGCAGAACTGGGAAGAGAAACAGAAGTCTCTTGAATTGTGGACCAACATGCTAACCACTGAACTTGCTGCCTCTCACATAAGCTGCATGCTTCCCAGGAGGGTATATGAAAGTTTTAGAACGTTTGCCTAACTGCAACAGCAGCCCTGGAGAAACTTTCCTGACACCAAAGGTGATCATCCCTCCCAGCCCCGGGCTGACAGCTTCAGCTAATGTTTGTGTTGCATGATGCTCTGGAAATATTAGGCGCTGACATGTCATCTGTCCTAGCTGATGTGACTAGACAATAGCCTCATTGCTAAAAATAGCTATTCTCCTATTTGGAACCTGTTGGCTTCAATAACACAGTGTAGCTGGCAGTTCTGCTAATCAACAGTTGCCTTGATCGTTGGCTCATAAATCACCTTTACTTAGCTCTCAGCGTGTGGGCCAAGATTTTTGGAATGCCTCATGATTTTGGCTGCCCAACCCAAGCGCCCTTCCAGGGACTTGATCTTCAGCAAGCACCGAGCACCCGCCTGCTGAAAACCAGGATTTTCCCATTATTCCAGCTGCCGAGAACCTTGGTAGGCTCCGTAGAGCAAGTGTGGAAGACTCACTTTAAGAGGTATGCCGCAGCTATGTGCAGCAGGTAGAGGCTGATGTACTTCAGCTGACGAGGAATCTCCTCCTGGCAAGGGAACAAAGATTTCACATTAAGCTTCTTCACATGGCCGACGGAGTGGTGCACAACATAGAGCAGCGAAGCATGACAGGAAGTCCAGGGCTCTCCCTGCTCCTGCGGATTTTGTGGAGCGTTCCCCATTGACATGCCAAGTCATCCCATGGCTGTGAAGATTCCACCTCATTGGTCAAATGTAAAGGCAACGTAATGGCAGGGACCCCTATGCCAGCTTCCAAGCTCGCTGATGGTACGTCGAAAGGGCACATGAAGCTGCTGGGGCTTTCATTGGCCTCACAATCCTCCCCAAGTTCCACATACGCAGCCATCTCTGGCATTCTGCTTCTCAAAGCTACTGCTAATCCACCGGCGGTGGGTCCACCAGACAAGACCCCCTTTGCAAAGCTTGCAGCATGGCCGGGGGGCACTCACCTTGCGCACCTTCTGGAAGTACAGCTCGGGAAGCGCATGCAGCCAGTATGCTAGCTGGCAAAGATAGAAAAACTTCACTTGGAACCTGAAATGCAAGGACAGGACGGGTGAAAGCGTGGAGGGCAAACCAAGCTCCAGACTGTGTGTAAATATTCCCCCACCATGGCCTGCCACAGGGCATCACCTCCTCTGAGCAGAAAGCACATGCCCAGAGAGGACCCCTGGAAATCAAACTAGCTACCCCAGTCCCAGCTGGTGTACAGACAGGGGGAGGGGAAGAGAATGCTGCCTGATCTCCTACACCAATTAACTCAGATTAACTCTGGAGGAGGCATGTCCCCTGCTGATTTTCCCGGGGATAAGGATGCCTTGGGCCAAGCCAGAGAGCCTGCAAGGAGCAGCTGGTCCCAGACAATCGGGGAGATGAAGGTCGGGTTTTTAATCTCTTCTTTGAGGATTGGGAAAGACGCATCTGGCCTAAAGCCTCAGGCAAAGAGGTACCGAGGTTACTGCTTTTCAAGAGATAATCGATGCGGCACCCCCGGGACAAGAGAGAAGAATTTGCCAGCAACCAAAATGCAACATTGGGTGTTTGCTGGTAAGTCTGGCTGACTGAGACGCACTATGAATTTGGCACGAATGCCATTTGTGCTGCATTACAGAGCACTCCTCTCCCAACTGTTTTGCAGCTCACATTAGGAACGGGGTACCCCACTCGCAGAGTGTGCATCTAGGAAGGAAGAGCCAAATATCCAGGTTTAATCATTCACCGGATCCAGGATTCCTGGGCTAGAACAATCTAAAATCACAGATTTCAAGGCTAGAAGGGCCATTGTGGTCTCCTGGGCCGACCTCTTGTGTAGCACAGGCCAGGAAATTCCACCCAGGGATTCCCGCATGCAACTCCACAGAGCTCATACAGGGGATTCAGCACGGGAGTGGGAGCCAGGAACCTTGTAACTTCTAAGTCCAGCTTTGCCCCTGCCTGGCTGGGCAGGTCCCCAACTCCTCTGCCCCACTTAGCCTCCTAATGAGGGTACAGATCACCCCTGAATTTCTGAGCCCCGTGTTACCAGATATTGGCTATTCACTGACTGGAGCACCCTCTTTCTGCCTGGGCCTCACACACCTTCCCAAAGTCATTATTCCAGCATCCCTACGAGGAGACAAGAATTACCACCCCTCATTTCACAGATGGGAAACTGAGGCACAGAGCAGTAACATGACTTGCCCAAAGTCATTGGGGATCGAACCCAGGCCGCTCAAGTTCCAGGCCAGAAGGGCAGCCACACGCTGATCACAAAATGCCCCCCTCACTCTTTGAATTCAAATGTCTCCCTCTCTCCGCTGCGACCTTGGTAGAAAGCAGGGTTGACTGGCAAGCCCAGCAGGGGAGAGGGAAGCGGGGTCACCAGTGCTTTGAAAACACACAGAAGGATAAATGCTGCCCATTCACATGACACTGGCTCCCAAGCTACGTCCTCCCATAAACCTAAAAAGAGGACGGAAGTGGTCCGGTGAAGAACAGCAGGCTTACGGGAGAAAAACATGAGGGTAATTTTCCCACCAGCTCCTCGGGTCTGATAAGTATCCTTCCTGCAAGAGAAGAGGAGAGGCAAGTTCTCAGCAAAGGAAACCATCAGCACTTGTTGGTTTTTGGGTTACCCACTTCAACACTAATTTCAGCCACGCCTGTTAATGCCATGTAAACAACAAGAAACCAAGGGGCCCGGAGGCTGGATCCTCTCAGAGCTGCTGTAATTATTCTATCCCAAGCTGAAGAGCATGACATACGGCCAGCGGTAAGGTTGTGAAAACAATGCCTTTCGACTAGGCTCTCACAGCTGACTACAATTTTGCCCCCACAATGAGGCTGCACCCTTCCAGGTCTGCTCTCTATCTGAAAGGAACTGAAAAAAGATCAAGCAGAGAGAGAGAGAGAGAGAGAGAGAGAGAGAGAGAGGCCAGTTTTGAACCCGGGGGTGTTTTCTGTTGCTACGAAACTGTTGCCGCCTCCTTCCCCTGCTTCTCTCTCTGTGGGAAAGGGCAGAAAACTGGGAGTTCAAGGACGGTCACATTTGCCCTTTTGGGATCCAGTGAAAATGCATTTTGATTCCACCAAGCCATAAAGGGCACTCGGCCAACCCACTCCTGGCTACTCCCTGCACCTGTTACCCACACACCTTGTAGATGTGGTGCACTGTTCTACCTCCTGGGACTGAGACCACTTGCAGAGAGGTCTTAGCCAAGAGCCAGCTGGCTTTTAGCTCATGTGGTAGAGGCTCACGCACTAAGCTCCAGAAGTCCCAAGTTCAATTCTGCCTGTTAACATTACACACCATCCAGACAGCACGCTGAATGGCCTGGCAGAAGTAACAGGACAGGATATGACCCTGTAATTAAAACTCATCATAAGCCCATAAGGGGAGTTTTATCTCAGCGTTTCCTTGTGCTCCCCTCCCTGCCTGTATCCATCCATAGTCACTTGTCTTCGACTGTAAGCACTTTGGGACAGGGACCCTCTTTTCCATCTGTGTTTGCACAGTGCCTCGCCCAGCGGGGTCCGGATTCCCGGCCCTTGACTGTGGCTCCGAGGCGCCACGAATATACACATACATAATCACGGCTGTGCAGGAAACCAGCACTTGGACATTCTCAGATTGATTTTCAGTGCTTTGCTCTGCAAACTTAAGTGCTCGTTTAATGCAGCACCTTTGCACGGAATCCACATTGACTTAGGTTTACCTAGTGTGCCCTAAGCTAGGGTGTGATTTTACAAGTGCTCTAGCTACCTCACTCGGACACTCCTACCAGGCATTTTGGAAGTGTATTAAGCTGAAGTGCACCGAGGCTCTGTTAGTGCGGAGTAAGAGTGTCTACCCCGTGAGTTAGGGCAGAGTGGCTGGTGCACATTAACTATTCTGAGCTTTCTCGCGGTGTAGACAAGGCCACACTCCCAAACAAAAGGGAAGGCTTCTTCCAACAACTCCCCCTCCCTTCAGGAGAGCTCAGGAGACTAGCGGTACATCCCAGCACCCTGCAGACCAACATCACGGTGCTGATTCCATACGGTGCCAATCTGAAGTTGGGATCCGGAGGCGAAACATGCAGCCAGGGCCTGATTCGCCCTCAGTGACAGCATCTTCTTTGCAAAACTGCCCTGGATCCTGAGCTGCGGGCAGAGAGAGGGGCTGGCTGGGGGACAAAGCACAGAGCTAGACAGCTCAGAAGCCTCTTTCAGTCAGCTGGGCAGCCCCTCCGGGCTTCCTGGCACAGCAGCAGCGGGATGTTTACAGAGGAGGCTGCAGCCCCCAGTCAGAGGTAGGAGGGCGGAATCTCTCTGCAGATGAGGGGTGGGGGAGGCAGAGGAATAGGAGGAGGAGTGAGGGGGATGTATTGAGATTCGGCAGTGGGTGGGAGCAAGCAGCTAGCTCCAGGAATAGGAGGACTGTCTGGGGGCCCATTTCAGTTCCTCCAGGCAGAGGCAGATCACAATTTTATGGGGCTCTGGGCCAAAGCAAATGGGGGTCCTTCCCCTCTTCCACCTGCAGTTCCCCCATCCCACCCCACACTCCTGCTGGAGAAATGAGGTTGGGGCACAGGGACTTGCCCCACCTGGCACTCGTGGGGTGGAGGGGGTCAGCAGCTTGCCCCACCCACCACCGCTCCTGCCAGGGAGAGGGGTCAGGGGCTTGCCTCGCCCTCCGGTGCTCCAGCTGGGGAGGAGGGTCCAGATGCAGGGGCTTCTCCCGGTCCACCCTCCTGCTATTCCTGGTTAGCTGAGCTGTCAGACGCAGGATGGTGCTGGGGAATGGGGAACGAGTAGACTGCAGCAATGAAGCACTCAAACAAGAGTGACACAGCTAATTCCATGCTGGATGTGGAGTTGGGACAAGAGTCAGCAGGGAAGACGACACACAGCTGTTGGCCAGCTGGGATGGACGTGGGTGCGTGGATGCTGGGGCAGGCGCTGTAGATGGAGGGTTGGATTATTCACAGATGGGATGATGTCACATGTCATTTATGACAGTGAATGGCCAGTTACTATCCAGCACTGGGGCACTCCAGCCTCTGGGAACGTGAGAGTTTTAAAGACAGCTAGTAAAGCGGTAATTCACTGCAGTAAGTGTTAGCGCCCTTTCAATTCTTTGCATGAAGCTTTCGATACGGCACATGTATTAACGCACGTATTTAAGAGCAATCCAGAAACACCTCCCCTCTACACACACAGCTGAGTGAGCTTTGCCAGGAAAATCCTTAACTTTTGCCTTGCCTGACTTTTGTCCACTGCGTTTTATGTTCTCGGGCACTGAAGCTGAAATTACATAAGCTTCATTTGGGATGGGGGGGGGGAGGAGGAGCTGCAAGGAGGACACGGATGTGGGGCACTGGTTAATGCTTTAGACCCACATTTTACAGCATGCTTGTACAATAGCGTGGCCCTATGTAGCCCCTCCCCCAGCACACTGGTCCAAATTCAATGGAAAGTCACAGTTTACATTTCCATGAATGTTGACGTCTCCTGGCAGCTCCAGTCTTTTATGTTATGCTGCTCCCCCGGCTCAGAATCAGAATGTGAGTGGAATAGCAATTGGCACCGAGACGCCTGGAGTTCAGCAACCTTAACAGCGTTTAGCAGAGTTTATCCCCTTCTCGCTGCTCATTCCAGGGCTTTGGTAACCTGGGTTAAGAGACCTGCTCTTGCGAAAATGCACTCAGACAGCCCTACCCCTGGCTGCTCCCTGTAGTAGCTTTGTTGGCTATACAGCGCCATGTGTTGACTTCTCGATTGGTTGAACATTTCCAGCCTTCTCCTCTTGAATAAAGGGGCCTCACAGGGCAGAAAGCCTGAACAACAGGCTTCCCAGAGAGGGGGAGAGAGCAGGCTGCCAAGGGATTGTAAAGTTTGGCCCAGTGTACTATCCAATTCCACGATCACGGGTTTTGCCCGAGTCTCCCCCGTCACAGAACTCTGCTCCAGAATCTAAGCCATAGAACCGGTGCCATTGTAGCCCATGGCAAATCTTTACCCTCTATCTTTAGCTTTCCTGCTTGCAAAAAAAAAAAAAAAAAAAAACCCACACACCCTCTTGAAAATGTGAACCATGTGTAAACGGACGTGCTGACGTCTGCCTGAATCCGCTGGCAGCCTGAAACGGGAGCTGAGAGGGAAGAATTGTCCCATTCACTTCAGTTCCGACTGTGAATCCAAGTGACAGTTTAAATGGCAGCAGTAGTGCCTTGCTACGGACAGGTTTTGCAGAAACACCCAGCTCGTGTGCTCATCCCAAACGGTCTCTTAGCCTGCCTTCGGTGCCAAGATTCCTCCAACGCTCCCTACAGCAGCTTCTACAGCGCAGCTTCATTAGGACTAGCTCCCAATGCACACAAAGTGCTAGAGAAGAGCCAAGTAGTTATCATCATGATTTTTTTGCCTTGTCAATTCAGAGTCAGGTCACAGTGACAACTTCGAGTCCGGAGACGGCTTCAAATCAATCAAATTTAAAACCAAAACAAACAGCACAGGGGCTGCCACGGTGACTACATGGTTCGCTCTCAAATTGAACTCATTCAAGCCTCTGTTTTCAGCTCAGTGAAATGGACACAGAAGTTTCCTGTCTGCTGCGCCACCCCCTAATTCTGACCGAGACTAAGTCCAGCTTGCCAAGCAGTACAGAGACAGGAAAACCCTCCACTGTACGTGCTGCTCTGGAGTCTGGTTGCCTGACCTTTCACAGGCAGTAACTTGGAAGTGATTCCTACCAATGAAAGCATGGGCAGTGCCTGCATCAAACCAGCATGCACGGATATCATCCAGCAGAGTAGACTGAAGGAGTCTGCAGCAGATACCTGCCCTCATGGGTACTTCAGCATTCCCTCTGCTGGATAAGCGGCGAGGAGTCCTGTGGCACCTTATAGACTAACTGAAGTGTAGGAGCATAAGCTTTCGTGGGCAAAGACCCACTTCGTCAGATGCACATCTGACGAAGTGGGTCTTTGCCCACGAAAGCTTATGCTCCTACACTTCAGTTAGTCTATAAGGTGCCACAGGACTCCTCGCCGCTTATCCAGCAGAGGGAATGCTGAAGTACCCATGAGGGCAGGTATCTGCTGCAGACTCCTTCAGTCTAAGTCCACGCTCTGTACGGGGAAGCCTGAACCAGACCATGCCGAGTCTCGGCGGGGCCTTCTGCCATAGCTTACCGTCACCACTACATATAAGCACCAGATCATGGAGGTGAGATGGAATGCTACCAGCTGCCCTGATTCGTTGAACTTGCTGTGTTTGACTTTGGAGAGATGGAGCCGCCTGTTGATTTTCTAGAGGAAAAATAAAGAAGAGGACGTAAGCCACAAGGCGGGCAATTCACCCTCCTGGCCCTCCAATGCCCCCACTCCTTCCTCCTCATGAAGTGAGAGTCACCATGTCAATCCTGGAAACACGCCCCCATCCGCCCTCCCCGCCCCCGATCAAACTAACCAGCTCATAAAGGGCAGCTAGCACACAGAGGCCAGCTGTGGCCACAAAGGGTCGACATACAGGCCGGAGGACTCTCTAACTGGAGGCCCACCAGGGCTTTTACCTCAGGGCAGAAGCAGAACTTACATCCAGGACGTAGTCCTGCACCACCGCATGCAGGATGATGGCTATGAAGACGTAGAAGAGGATGGTGATCAAGTCCTTTAGCCCGTAGCGGTAGTGAACTAGCTCGCCATCTGGGGAAGACACACAAGCATCCGGATTGCACCTGTTGGGGTTGGAGAGGCCACTGGCTTCCGAGGCCGAAGAGGGGGGCAGGGCTGAGTTTTAAAGGCACGCAGGGAGATCAAGTGGATTTTTTTTTTTAAAAAAAAGAAGCTGTATGCCAAGCCTGGAAGGCTGTGTTCATCTGGGGCCAGCATGGACAGCAGCGGGGAAAGCTGCTCCCATATTGACACACAGCTGAGGCAGGGTACAGCTCCCTACAGCCTCAGTCTTCAATGGATTTATTCTCAGAACACCCTGGGAGGCAGGGCAGGGCTTTTATCCCCCATTGTACTGATGGGGAAACTGAGGCACAGAGCGACCTAGTGACTTAAGGACACACAGGAAGCCTGGCAGAGCCAGTATGTGAGCCCACCGCCTGAGTCCCAGACAAGCAGCCTAACCACTGGGCCACCCTTCCTTTTGAGAGATGTCACACTGAGTCCCTGTTAATGGTGCCCTTGTCCGCATGGGACTAGAAACACATCCGAGGGCACTAGATCGCCCAGGCCTTCCTGGGGTTTTGGGTGCACTCTCCCTTCTGAGTCAATGCTAACGCTAATACCTCAGTGTGGTGCTAGGGGGCGCTGTGCTGCAGGGTGGTGGCAGCTGCCACAGGGGGCGCTGGTGGATAAATGCATTAAAAGTGATCAAAAAAGGATGCTCAGTTACTATAGTAACGAGGGCCACAAGTCAGCCAGCACCAGACTGGTCCTTCGGTTATTTTAAGTATCATCAAACAGGGGGGGATGCGGGCGCCACACCCAGTCTTAAAACGGAGCTTGCAACAGTCATGAAAGAATGTGGCTGAGTGACCCAACCGCCTCTCCCAGGAAGTGCTGGGATTATAGATGTGGGTGACCAGGACGTACTGGGTGACAGAGTGGCCCCCCAGCTACTGGGGTAGGTTTTCTGGAATACCACCCACATGACAGTCAGAAACACCTGACAAGGGACTCTGAAAAGGGAGGGTTTTAATTCCACAGCTCACGATTGTCACGGTTCAAAGAGCGGGAGAGACAAGTGACTTCTTACTAGTCAGAGTCCAAGTGACTGTGTCCCTCTTCCCACCCCTGCTGGCGATTTATCCCAAACCCCGGGCTAGTAAGTACAGTACACGGCCCACTGGGACCCACAGGCTCCCCCCACTAAACTTACACTCACCCCACAAGAGAGTCACCAGCTCACAATACCGGATAGGGAGAAGGGAGCAGCTGGACAGGGCCAAAGCCCATTTCTTCTGAGTACCCGAAAAGCCAAACCCAGTTAGCATGGCATGAGGACCATGGCTGGCTTGCTGCCCAGCTGAAGAATCAGCACTTGGAGGAGGTATAAAACCTGGACTTGGCAGGACGGATCTGGTTTTTCTGTATTAAAGAATTTGCCATATACAGTTGCTGTCGTACTTGCAGGTGGGAGAAAGTCCAAGAGTCTACACCCTCGCAAAGCTTCAGGCTGTGTCTTTAAACAGAGGGACCATTCACATCCTGCTCTCCGCGGCTATCCATTCTATCCCCTGCCAACTCCAGGTGCCTTCAATGCATTAGTTCTTTTTGGGTCCTTTCAAAAAGGCCTTCAGCCTAGATTAAGGGTGGGGAACCATTTATGAGTCGGGGGCTGCTGACCCACAGAAAAAAATCCGTCAGGAGGTGCTGTGGAGAAGAGTTCAAAAAGGCCACCCTTAAAGGGGCAGGCGACTTTTTTTTTTTTTTTTTTTGCTTAATAAAAAAATACTTGGTGTTCCACATACAAAAAAATTATTGATTAAGAATTATTGATTAAGAAACCTGGTTTAGAGCCAGGCCGGCCTGGCAGCACAGCTGATGAGATGCGACCCACGACTAAATGGGCACGACTCAGCAGGGTGGGATTTAACGTGCTGAAAAGCCAAAGCAGCGTTAGAGAGAAAGGTTCCTGTTGGGTGGGGTGATATCAGCAGGGAAGACCAGGACTACAGTATGATAGTGCGGAACACTCCCAAACGAGGAACAGGTTCATGCTGAGAAAAGCACAACACTGCTTCTAGTTCAGGTTTTGCAGTATTGGTTAATGCAACCTACATTTACCACTTGGGAGGGGCCCTAACTGAGCAAAGTATTAAAGAAAAGGGTTGAAATCATGCTTTGGTACTTGGCTGAAGAGAGATGCTTAGCAACCTTGGGGCTTGTGAGTGCCCTTTCCTAAATCATAGAATTACAGGGTTAGAAGAGACCTCAGGGAGATTCCTATACCTGAGCCATTCCTTTTAGGTGATGCTTTGAGGAACGGTCCCATGCGGAGGTGTCAATAAAGGAGGTTTTGAAACAAGCTGATAAATTAAACAGTAGTAAGTCCCCACAACCAGACAGCAGTCACTGAAGAGTTCTGAAAGAATTCAAATATGAAACTGCGGAACTACAAACCGTGACAAGTAAGGTATCAATTTAATCAGCCTCTGTACCAGATGACAAGAGGCTAGATAATGCAATCCCAATTTTTAAAAAAGGGCTCCAGAGAGCAGCCTAGAAGCTACAGACTGGTAAGCCTAAGTTCAGAACCTTGTACATTTTGAAACTATAGTAAAGAACAGAATTATCAGACAGAAATTAACATGATTTGTTGGGGATAAGCCAATGTGACTTCTGTAAAGGGAAATGATGCCTCACCAATCTATTAGACTTCTTTGAGGGAATAACACAAGCATGTGGACAAGGGTGATCCAGTGGATACGGTGTACTTGGACTTTCAGAAAGCCTTTGGAAAGCTCTCTCACCAAAGGGTCTTAAGCAAAGTACGCTGTCATGGAATAAGAGAGAAAGTTCTCTCATGAATCAGTAACTAGCTAAAAGACAGGAAACAAACAGTAAGAATAAAAAGTCCATTTTCATAATGGAGAGAGGCAATCAGTCATGTCCCTAAGGAATCTGTATAGGGACCAGCGCAGATCAACATCTTCATAAATGATCTGGAAAAAAAGGGTAAAACCATGAGGTAGCAAAGTTGGCAGATGACACAAAAATTACTCAAGATAGCTGTTAAGCTGATGACAAAGGGATCTCAAACTGAGTGACTAGGCAAACAGTGGGGGATGAAATCCAGTGTGGATCAATAAAAGCAATGCACATGGGAAAATAAACAGAATCCAAACTATACATTCAAAATGATGGGATCTAACTTAGCTATTGCTACTGAAGAAAGTTTTGGGAGTAATTGTGGAAAGTTCTCTGAAAACATTCATTCAATGTGCAGCAGCAGTTAAAAAAAGCTAACAAAGTAATGAGCTATTAGAAAAGGTGTAGATAATAAGTTAGTAATTATCATGCCATTATATAAATCCATGGTAAACCCACACTTTGAATACTTCATGCAGCCCTTCTTGCCCCAACTCTAAAAAGATACATTAGAAATTGAAAAGGTACAGAAAAAAGCAACAAAAATGCTTTAAAAAAAAATGTAGAATAGCTTCTCTCTGAGGAGAGACTAAAAAGACTAGGCCTGTTCAGCTTGGCAAAGAGACAGCTAAGAGGCAATGTAAAGCTCTATGAAATCATGAATGGAGAAAGTGAGCAAGGGTTATTTATCCCTTCACATGACACAAGAACCAGGGATCACCCAGAGAAACTAATAGGTGGAACAAACAAAATCAAGTACTTTTTCAGGAGATGCACAGTCGACCTGTGGAACTCACTGCTAGAGGATATTGTCAAGGCCTAAAGTATTAACTGTGTTCAAAAAAGAATTAGAGAAAGTTATGGAGGATAGGCCAATCAAAGGTTATTAGCCAAAATGGTCAAAGATGCAACCCCCGGGTCACCCTAACCTTCTGATTGCCAAATGCCGGGAATGGATGACAAAGGCAGAATCAGTTGATAATTGTCTTGCTCTTCTTTTTCCCTTTGAAGCACCTGGCACTGGTCACTCTTGGAAGACAGGATATGGGGCATAATGGTCTGACTCTTTATGGCCATTTTTAAGTTCTTATGTTCTAAAATCATTTGTGCTGTTGGCTTCAATCTGTACATCTTCAATGGAAATTTACGGCCAAATTTCCAAAAGGATTTAGGTGCAGTAATACGCAGATATGAACCTAAAGGGATTTTAAAAAGCAGTTGGTGTGACTTAGACTAAGTGCCTAAATCCCGTTTGAAAAAATATTTAGGCTTCTAAATCACATAGGCACTATGATGCTGAGAAAAGCAATACTTAAGTATCTTTAAAAATGAGGTGCTAATCTTTTAAACAGGCAGAATTCATGTTATGTAGACTAAATTGGGTGTTTGAGCTCTAACAGAAGTGGACAATGTCACTGTAACACTGACAGTTCAGCATGTTATTGTCTTCACTTACCTATAACCTGTCACTATCTTGTTACATTATATATACTGATAATTAGATAACCCTAGAATAAAATGTCTTAAAATTAGAAAGGGTAACCTTCATGAAAAGTAATGAAGAACTGTTTCTGGCTATCACATTGTGATTATGTTAGATTTACCCATCACACAAAATTGAAGCCTTGGAAATGTGAGATTGCTAATTCCAAAGCATGGTTCCTTGTGCCGGACAATGGAAAGTCACAAACTCACTTTGTATTTGGTCCACAAAGATAAAGTCCCTGCTGTGATGCAAACACTTGCCTAACACTCACTCACAAAGAAGTACTCCAGAAGCAAGACTAAGAGCCCCAAAGTTACTATGGGTAACCCTGAGAGGCATATGAAAAACTTCCAGGTCATTACACCTCCACTATTATTTTGGATTTACAAACTTTGACTCACCTTTAATGGGTTTTACTTATTTTAACCTCTCAATAATTCTAATTCTTTTTCTTTGCTAATAACTTGTACTTAGTTTACTAGAGAAAATGGTTACCAGTGTTGTCTTCTGTGTGAAATCAAGATTATCTGCTGTTTCCCCTTTCATCTCATTACCCTTCGTTATACCCACACTCTCAGGCTATGTCTACATTGGCGGGTTCTTGCGCCAGAAATATGCAAATGAGGCTAAGCATGGAATCTCACCGAGCCTCATTTGCATACCTAATGAGCTGCCATTTTTTGCAGAAGAGGCTCTTGCGCCAGAAGGAGCGGTCTATATTGTCCCTTCTTTCGCAAGAAAAACCCTATTGCGCAATGCCGTTATTCCTGAAAATAATCAGCACCCAGCAATGGACTACAGCAAGAATGAAAGGCTATAGGAATTGCCAAACTAGACCACGCCAATAGCCCATGCAGTCCAACACAATGTTTCCACCAAATGCTCCTTAGCAGACAATAAAAATACCCTGTGCAAAAGAACCAGGAAATTATTTTTTGTCTGAATGTTAAGATAGTTTGGGAAGATTATGCTGCGATGGGCCCGCCTAGTTTAGGCAACTGGTTTTGGGGAAGAAAGATAGAAGAGGCATTACTACTACCCCATGTGTGATGACAGAAATGTTCTTCCTGACCCCGCTAGTGGGAAGTTTATGCCCTGATGCATGAGGATTAACAGCCCCGATAAACTGTAACTGAGCTACCCCCTCACTGCTAAAATATTATTTTAGTAGCTTTTTACTAGGAGACTATCCCCCATGCCATGTATGTGCGTGGCATGTGAGTCTATCCCATTCAGCCGTGGTTGCTTAGTAATGAGGATGAGAGCAGAGTCTGCTGTGATCCTGTGGAAGATTTTATGCAGGGCTGCTGCAACGGCGTGGATGCTCTTACCTGCTGTAGGCACACTAATGTTGTACTGAGGTAAGATGAATAAGAAGGCAGTCTTGGCGGTCGCCTGTTAAAAACAAAAACACACCTGGTTAAAGTGAATTACTGTATTTCCAATGAATCAGGTACAGATTCCCATCACCACCCATATCCCAATCAGCACGACACAGCTCCCTCTGAAATCCCAGCTCTGTATGGCTCAAAGAGTCCCACATTTAGAGCCAGTGACATCTGTTTGTATCCCTCTGCCTCTTCCCAGGCAGCTGCCTTTGCTATGCAAAGCCGACTGCTCAGTAACCAATCACAAGGAACTCTGTGCAGGAGACAAAGTCCAGTCCTGTCAGCAACTTCCCATGTCCCATCCCCAAACACGTTGCAGTGCACGCTGGTTAAGTCCAGATCATCTACACAGGGTGGTTTTCAAACTACAGGTGGTGACCTACTACAGGGTGGTGGAATGCCAGGCACCGGGTCTCATTGCTGCAGAGGGATCAGGTGCCCAGCAGGGGGGGCTAAGGCAGCTACTTGCCTGTCCTGGCACTGCAGAGTGTGCTGCACCCCAGAAGGGGCCGCAACAGGACTGGCCCCTACGTTGTGGGGGAAGGGAGAGCGCACAGGGGTACTCCCATTGGCTGAGAACCTACTGCTGGCTGCTTCTGATGCAGCATGGTCTGCGGTGCCAGGAGAGGCAGGAAGCTGCTTTAGCTGCCCTCCTGTCACTGCCCTGATACCCCCAAAGCTGGAGCCCCCTACTACACCCTACAGCTCTCATCCTCAGGCCCATCCTGGAGCCCACACTCCAGTTAAATTATGCTGGGCCGTAGGTGTGACGTAGTGGGGGTACCTGGCTGGTTTCTATGCTGCTGGCTCTGGGGTAACCCCCACTGGCTGCCGTGGGTACCACAACCCAGCGAAACAGGATGAGTCACTATGCAAACCAGTAGGGCCAGACACCCCCCATGGAGAGGAACAAAGGAAGGTGGAATGCTGCCCTGGCTGGGGGGCAGGGCTGGAAGAAGGTTAGTTAGTTGCTGTCTGAGAGCATGGAGGAGACAGCCTAGGGAAAAGGGGCTGGATTTTAGGGGCCCAGTCTCCCCCATCTCAAGGGGGCCTGAGGCATCCTAGCCCAGCTCTGTGACCAGATTACATCTGTGCTGTATCCTGGAAAGGCAATAAACTTCCTCTATTCCACCGGCTGGTGCAGTCTGTTTGTGCCATTTCAGGGTGCAGGAGACGGGGGACCCCCAACGCGCCGTCACAGTAGGCATCAATGAGTTGCTTCAACTAGGTCATGAGAAAAAAAATTTGAAAACTGCTGGTCTACTCGCTTTTCAGTCCAACAGCCCCTACGCTGATTTATGAGAGGAGGTGGGAGGAGAGTACAGTTTGCTGGTGTCCTGGGTAAGGTAAGAAGTTCAGTCCAACCTCTAGGGACTATTTTGCAGGTGAAGTCTGGTAGCACTATTATCACCCTTGTTAACCTTTGCAACTCACTGCCTAGAGGAGATCCCTCACAATCAGAGTTGAGGCACACCAGCAGGGCAGCATGGTGCAAGGGGAAATTATGCTGCCCGACTTCTGTGGGCAATGAAGCATGTTCCCTCCACCCCTGAGCACTCTTACAGGTTGAGCCAATCTAGTCCGGCACCCTCAGGACCTGACCGGTTCCAAACCGGAGAACGCTCCGGACCACGGGAGGTCAATATTGTCTAGCACCATTACCGACGCTTCCATCCCGCTCGGGGGCCACTGCTTATTGGGCTGTTGGAAGACATTTAGGGGTAAATTAGAGCTAAAGATCAGCACAGAACACTGAGAATACTGAGGTGGCTGTTAAACTTGACGGGAGTGCAGGAACCTTGGCCACACCCATGCTCAGCGGGCAACGGATGTTTCCGGACTAGAGTTCTGGATTAGAGAGGTTCAAGCTGCATCACGCAAGATCAGTTCGTTCTAAGGACGCTTCACAGACAGTCTTGCGAGGAGAAGCCAGGAGTTCTAGTCACAGTGTGATAAAACAATACCTTAGGCTCGGGGACACTCCCCTCAGCCTCTCCCCCCCACAAAAAGGAGAGGAACCACAGAGAGCTAAGGCGTTATAAATAGCGTTTGACTTTGAAAACCAATTGGTTATAAGCGGCTCCTAGCATCCCAAGCAGGGATGCCAGCACAGCATGCTAGCTGGCTTTGGCTCCCAAACGGATGCCCAGGCTCCCCAGAATCATCTCCCCGAGCTGGGGGCAAAGCGCTGCAGACTGCGAGCAGATTTACGCAGCAGTTCTTCCCACTAATCCCTCCTACTGGTGGTGACAGACACAGGGATTAGCCATGCCAGGAGAGCGGCAGATGCTCGTTCGACTCCCAGGGCGGGGAGGAAAAGCAGCTCTGGGAACCAAACCGAAGCCGTTGCAGCTGGCACACATCTACGGATCCACCCGGCGAAGTCCGTGTTCCGGGCTGCGAGCCTGGAAAGCACGTCAGGGTTGAGTCAATCCTGCTCGCAAAGCCTCCAGGATAGCTGGGCTAGAAGATTCCGAAATCACGTGTCCGTACTGCGCATGGCAACCCCGAGGGTGCACTGAGCACCGGTGCGTGGCCTCTTTGCTCCTTGAAATCCGGCGTGGTCAGCTGGCTGCTCTTCAGGCCTTCGGACTCCTGAGGCTGGGGATGAGCAAGGGCTGCCCAATGCAGAAGTCTGTGGAGCAACATCCCTGGCCTGCACTTAGGTGGAGTTGGTTAGACTCTTGGGCCCAGAACCAGAACGGCGGCGGTTTGCACTGGGAGCTCAGGTGGGGAGGGGTGCGCACGGCAGCTGAGGTGAGCGTGAAGTCCTTCGAGGGGTGGGAAGGAGGAAGGAGACGTAGGCGAGTATTAGCCTCCAGTTCCTCGGTGCAGCTCTCCTCACTAACTCCATTCAGAGCCAAACGCGACGGCTGCGTTTTCATCGGCGTTCAGCCACAAAATGGATCCAGCTGCCCCCGGGCGAGCAGGGCCCATGAGAACAATGGCCCTCGTGGGAGGCGAGACAGCAGTGGTGCTGACGCTGAGCGTAACAGGACTCGAGCCGTCGCGTGCCAGGAAACGAAGCCAAACACAATCCCAGAGACACGGCCCCGTACGGGACGGGAACAGGCCCCCAAGTGCACGCTCCCGTAGCAAAGCTTGGGCCACAAACACTCTGGAGCTGGACTTGGAGATCACGAAAGGTGGGCATGCCTGGGAGAAGGCAGCATTAAACAAAGCAATTCCCCAGTGGCTAAGACAGAGCGTTGACTTCCCAGGCTCCAGCCGTTTGGATCACAGGGATCAAAGGCTATTGGCAGAGCATAAAGAGGAATGTAGCCTAGCTACCCAGGCCTGCCAATCAGCAGGGACAGCGAGCACTTCGCGCGCTTTGTGCCTTCCATACATGGCGTGGATGACAGTAAAGCCCGCCAGAGAGTGTGGGCAGGCTGCCAGGGCTGAGATCGCTGCATTTCAACGGACCTCATCAGAAGGTGGAGTTGATTAGAAGCACACGCTTGACTGATCACCTTCTCTCCGAGGGTCTCTAACTGCTCCAGTGACTCAAGTGAGGAGACAGAGAAACTGAGGCACTGAGCGGTTAAGGCAGGAATTTCAGACCTAGGTGACTGAGTTATTAGGTAGGGCATAGCGCATGGAGAAAGACTGGGATTCAGAGGACTGGGTTCCAATCCTGGCTCTGCAACTGGCCAGCTGGCTCACTGTGGGCAAGTCACTTTAGCCTCCCTCTGCCTCAGTTTCCCCATCTGTAAAATAGGGATAACCATCCTGCCTTTGGAAAACACTTTGAAAACCACAGATGAAAAGTGCTGTACAAGATCATTATAATAACGATAATAATTTAATCCCACTTTAAAACCCAATTCTTCCCAAGATCCCTTCTAAGCGATTGCTTAATTACCATACAGGACCTTTCAGTGGGAGCTGTAGGAGCTCTGTACCTCTGAAAGTTGGATCACTTTGAGTAAGGTTCCTACGTATGTACAGTGCTAAAGGTTAAAGCACACAGGCCTGGCTAAATAAACCAGCTGCTTAGTATAAAAGTAAACAGCAGCTACAGGATTTTTCCTGCTCCCACTTCACAGACACACTGGCTGGCTGGGGAAGAGCCTGCAGTGTCAGTTCCCCTGAAAACCTCTAGATATTGGCACTTCCCAGAGTTTTGCATCTCACCAGACCTGAGCCTCGTGTTGCACAGGAGGGTTCGTGTGGATTGACTCTGCAGCACGCTAGACACATTCATGAACTGCCCATGGTTTGCACCCCCACCAGGCTTCCTATGTCACAACAACCCAATTCTATCTTCTCCCCAAGACTACGGGGACCCCGCAGTGCAATTCAGCTCCATGGCCCTATTACCACCATCATCCTGCCCTTACTGGGAGATCTCAAAGCATTCCGCAAAGGAGGGCAGTTTCACATCCCCACTTTACAGATGGGGAAACTGAGGCGCAGAGCCGTGGGGCAAAGCAAGTTAGTGGACTAGAACCCAGGTTTCCTGAATCCCTGTCCTGTGCTCTAACCACTTGGAAACTGCACATCCTAGAGAAAGAGCAATAATGTGCCACTGCAAACCACCCATACTATTGCCTCAATAATGCCACAGCTATGCCTGACAGAGTACCACCCAAAGAGCTGCTAGAATCATCCAGTCTGGATTTAAAAGTCGCCAGTGATGGAGAATCCACCATGACCCTCAGTAAGTTGTTCCAATGGTGAACTCCCTTCACCGTTAAAAACGTACATCTTTCCAGCCGCAATTTATCCAGATGGAGGAGTTCATGGTCAAATATTAGTTCTCCATGTCAGCATTTACAGACTGGTATCAAACCATACCTACACTTTCTCTCTGGTAAGCTAAATAGATGGTACTCCCTCAATTTATCACTATGTGGCATATTTACTTCTCCTTTTATCATTCTTGGGGCTCTTCTTTGAACCCTCTCCAATTTATCAACACCCTTCCTAAACTGTCAATCATGCTTAAATTCGACACTTTACACCTGAGTTTGAATAAAGAATCTAATTACCTTACCCATTACA